ATCAGTTCGGAACCTCACACCTGAGCCCCCTACTTTGAACAACCTAGAGCCTGAGGAAGCTCTAGACTCCAGACTATTCTGCATGTTCTGACAGCTTAGGGGTGAATCAACTCGCAACATGGGATGCGTCGTTGGTTGGCGCAATGATGCCATATGATGCCCACCTATGCTTGGACTAGAAAAAAAAAGGAAAAAAAAACACTTAGCAGTAGCCGACGGTCCGACATTGCCCAACACAACCTTTCCCACAGATTGGTCTGCAGTCTGTAGGTACAGTACTTTGATTGGTCCCATGAAACTGCAATTGATGCAAAGGCTCTCTTTTCCGCTAAGACCTGATTGTAAGCGCGTATCAGCATCTTCATGCGCTTCGGAAAGTCGAGCACCTGAAGAGTGGTCGAGATAGCTCTCGAAAGAACCTTCTCCTGATACCGCCATTCTTTCACGGTAGAATAAAGCTCGGGAGGGCCCTGGAGGTCATATTTATTGTATACATGGGATAGTAGCAAAGACGCTACTAGGTGGAGGCCATCGCTATTAGGTTGGAGGCCATCGCTACTAGTAGCAAGGACGCTACTAGGGATATTGTAGGATTGCCTTTCGATCCTGTTCAAATCAACCTCCACATGATCGGGGACAAAATTCAGCATAAATCAAGTGTTGCGACAGATCCTCAAATAGATCTGGAATGTTTTTCTTGTTTGATAGGGACATCTGGCACAAATATTACGAGGTTGATGGGCCCTGTTGTGGCCAAGTGCTTGTGTGTGTGTGTGTGTGTTCGCAGTGAAAAAATTGTCTATCCTCTTTTGGCCCAGACGAGTGTCTTTGATGTACCCCAGAAGTATAGCTGCTATTCTCACGTACTCTAGTCACTAGTCTGTTGTCGATGGCATAGCCAGCCATGCTTTTGACCTCTCAAATGTTTGGTTACGTTACATTGCCTGGTTGATGGTTGGATACATGGTCCAACTCGCCCTATACACTGATATCTGACAGCGAAACTACTTGTCATTACCAAATACTTGAGAGAATCTGAGCAAAGTCACAAATATGGCTTTACATTCCCGCTACACCCACAGTGCCTTGCAAGCCAGGAAAATGCAGCTCAAGGCCACCACCTTCATGCGATGGATTCATCAAAGGTCTGGATTTCATTTAGAAGAGTGACAAACAGCTCTTGGTCAAACTAGCCGAGGGCCCAAGGCGTGGCTTCTGCAGGCTTTGGTTTGGAGGAAACTTGTTAGGATTCGTGATTCGAGATAGTTTACATCTGGTGTCCTGTGGTCTTGCCAACACCAAGAGCAGCTCGAGGACATTGGCCACAACAAGGAGACTGAGAATGAGACTGGCCATTATAGAGAGAGAGAGAGGCCTCTTGCTGAAATTGAAATCACACACAATGAAACACAAAACACGTTTCTGTTCTTATCGTTCGCCTGAGGGGTCTCCTTCTCTGTGACCTGTTGCTGATTCTCCTTCTTGTAGTACAGCTGGATGTAGTGGGCAGTCATGAGCCGCGCCTGGCGCACGCTACTTCTTGCACAGCAAGTGTTGTCCACAGGTTCTAGAAGACTACTCTGCGGCAAGTCTTGCTTCAACATGATGTGCCGTACATGTGTCTCAGGAGGATTGAACTGGACTATGCCTTCAGCTCTGCTGCATCCGTTGATCTCGGAATTTATACAAAATGCGCAGTTCACAATCTGCTCCACCTGCAACTCGTCTTGGTTCTCTGCACCAAGCTGCCCAGGCTTGATCTGGTTGCCCTGCCCAGCTCAAGGGTGTGGGATAGCAGCTATGGCGAACTGGTGAACACGCACAAATATAAAGTGTTGTTCAACTATAACAACGCTAGCAAAAAAGCAAGATCTGTACTCCTCAACATGCTCATGAAAAACAAAAACAAAAGAAAAGAAGATTTGCAGGAACTACAAACGATAAAGTGAACAAGGTGATCACCAAAATCAACTGTTATTGGTTCACGTCATCACCCAGCCACGCACCTCCATGCTACACAACAAAGCATTGGAGTGACAGCCAGAATACCAGACACAAGCATGAGACCCGGATAAAGTGTGGATAGTGATAGAGAGGGACAAAACTGAATAGAACCTACTAGTAGCAGGGGCATCGCTACTAGTAGCAAGAAGCTGTTAGTATTATAAAAATATGTCATATGGTAAGACCAGAATCCTTGATTAAAAAAGAAAAGAAAACCACATACATGGACAATTAAAAAAAGTCAAATGGAAAGTCAAAAGAAAAGTCGAAAAAATAATCAAACAAATAGATCACAAATCGAAAGAGTCAAAAAACAAATAACAAAAATATCAAAATTAGAAACAACTCCAAAAAAGTTTTTTTTAAACAAATGTCGAAAAAAAAAACGAAAAAGTAAAAACGAATTCAACAGTGGAAAACACAAAGAATGAACATCAAATACAAAAAAAGAGTCAAAAAAAATCAAACTTATAAAAATAGAAGTAAAGAAATGTATCTGGACAAATTGACACTGCTTTTGACTTCTGAAACTGTCTGATGTGACTTTTTTGACTTTGACTTTTGGGACTGACTACTAAGTTGACTTTGTTTGACTTTGTTTTAATTTGAAAAGTAGCAATAAAGCTTTTATTGCCAAAAAAACATATGAGGACAACGACAACAGGAGGGCATACTGTTCCACTTTCAAGTGTCAGAGCGGCAGTGCAGCAGTCAGCGGGTTCCTCAAGGGTTGTTTCCGTGGCCATGGTGGTGAGCCCCATCTCCAAAGCCAAAATATGCCAGCATAATGGTGCAACCTGCAATCACCATCTATGGTCACAAGTCCATCTGGCTAGCAATCCCTCCAATTCTTCATCACCCTCCGACCCGTCAATGGCCCGACGGCACGGAAGGGAAGGCACCGAGACGAGGAGGGGAGAAGGAGAGAGGAGGGCAGGAAAATTAAGAAACGAAGTGAAGAGAGGCGGCGCCTGTGGTGTGTACTGTGCTGGTGAAGCGGCTTTTAGTGGAAGGGATGCCCTTTTCGGTCCTTGCGCATGACCGTGAAGGGCTGGTAGTTCACTGAAAACGTCTACCGTGGTTTTAATCAGTGTATGTGCCGCAATCTGATTGCAGTGTAAGGCCCAAGCAGCATGGCTTCAAAAATATTCAAGCCTCCTCCTCCTCCTGCTGCTGCTGCTGCTCCTGCTGCTGCTGCTGCTGCTGCGTGATTGATGGTCGACTATCAATGCGGATAATGCGGATTGGTGTCTCTTTCAGGAGGGCCAATCGCGCCCAGCCTGTTCAGCATTCGCCATGCACGTGCAGCCCAGCTGTGGACAAGATGCCGATAGGCGGACGCTGGAGAACACGGGAGAACAACAGGTCGGCCACAGACTGGGTTTGCTGTTCTCTTAAGAGAATCCCAAGGATCCTTCACCAACTTCGTCCGCAGGTGACTCATTCTGGGCAAGGTTGCTGCCAGGGGGCTTCAATCAGCTTCTTCACGATGGGCCGGCTAATGTCAGTCGTCCCGACCATGAGACTTCGTAGAGATTGAGTGTCCTAAAAGCACAGACAGTCCATTGAAAAACTTACCGCATAAGGCCAAAAACGTGCCCATTTAGGAACGGTGCAACCAAGGTAGCCAAAGGAACGGGGCAATGTCATAGCAATATTATATATACTATACACTATATACAATATACATAATAATATATATACAATGTACAATATACAATATACAATATATCATATATCATATAATATATAATATATATATAACACATATGTTATATATATATATATATGAAATGCTCGTACAACTAGGCTGTAATCTCCCAATTCTGTCCTACGGGTGCGCAAATCCCTGCTGCGTATATTGTTTGACAAAGGTGTTGAAACTCCTCCATATACCTGCCAAGCCTCCTCCACCTCCACTGCTGGCGTCGGCGGCGGCGTACTTTGGGGCGTTTGTGGCCCAGCCATGGCAGCGCAGCCCACACTCGGTGACTGGGGAGGTGCCTTTCGGAAAGGCCAGAGGTGTCTTTAGATAGTCTAGACTCTAGACTCACAGAGGTGTTATAGGAGCCTTGTGTGGTCTTGTACCAGGTCTGCTTGAAGTGCTCCATAACAGGGAGAATCGTCATTTTCCTAACCATGTGGCCAATTCAATGAATCCTAATACGCATCTAAATATGGGATACGTTGGAGGTTGCTGCTGGACACCAAATGAGCCAACATTCGGCGAACATGGCGGCTGTCAGCACACATAAAGACCACAATAACAAAACGTGCGCGAACATTTAGACACACAGAAACCCATGGATGCCCACAAACAGTGGAGGATTGCACACAAATATGTTCGTAGGGTATCGCTTCCCCTCCCAAAGTAAAATGACTACAGTAATTATCTGTTTAAAGGTTTGCAAATTTACATGTTTGGGGAAAGCGTTGTTGGGAGACCTTGCAAACGGGGAATTCACAATTTCTTGTTTATTCTAGTATGTGACTGCCCGCACCGTTCTTGCAATACGAGCACCTCCTAACTCCTAGTGTCTGTGATGATTATCTACTGTGTGGAATACCTGTGCCTCCTAACTTTATATATACTGCAACAGTCTTCACAATAAAGACATGGCGCATTGCAAAACTCTCTATAGGTCTGAATCTGTATGTTTTATGCAAAAGTTTAAAATGGTGTACTTTATGAGGTACCATAATATAGAAGAAAGTCAGATACTCGGCGAGTGGAACATACAAACCAACCTTCAAGAGCCCGAGCGTGTAAATTCAAGCTGCGACCACACTTATTGCCTCTGTATTGGGAAGAATTGACACTGTACTCCTAGAACCCTAGAACATGGGATGCTCGTTTGCACTGTGAGTAGTGCCCCCTGCTTGACTTGGCGCACATCAGCACAATCATGCCAAAAATTGAAAAGATCCTTTTCCTTGCGGCTTCTTAGATTTCTGGTGGCGAGAATAGACATGAAAGAACCTTTGCCGCTCCTCGCCTGCGCCCTTTGTCGAAAGGCCTCGGGGGGAATCAGTAGGTGTTGCAATCTTTCGGGCGGCAAAAGGGATCCTTGGCGTCCTTGCTCCTAGTAGCCATGCCAGGAGCCCATAGTAGCTTCTTGTTCCTAGTAGTAAGGCCAGGAGCCCCCTGTAGCGTCCTTGCTCCTAGATGCAAACATCTTTTTCAACCATTTTTAATTTTTGTTGAGGGGATTGATGCCACAGACTGCTGTCGTGATGATGCCCTGTGAGGTGATAAGATCTGCTACATGAGGCAATGCCCTCCATCTATCCCTTGGTCTTGTTCTGACAGTGCCAGTCTTGTATCCAGCTATTGGAGGGTGCAACTCAAGCCTAGATGCAGCAAATATGAGGAGCTTTCCACAGGTGATCGCAAACCGTGGGCACACCACCAAGGCAGCTTCAATGAACGACGCTCGAAGGTGGTTTTGCAGAGCCGTTCTGTGCATCTGTGGAGATTCTTTGATCTCCTGGCGCCATATGTGCGCCTGCAGATACAATCCAATCTCACCTAGCACTATATAGAGTTACTTTGAACATCTTGTCTTAGAATCAGAGTTTCTTATTCATGATCTCCGCGAGCTTCGCATCATCGGCCGGAATCTCCCAGCCTTTCTGGCGGATATAAGAAGGATTCACAAAAATCTGATCAAACTTCAAGACCTTCCACCTCACAAAGCCATTTTTCTCCATGACATCCGAAATCTTCTTGTTGTTCACTGGCCCCTTGTTCATCTCGATGGTCATGACCCCGACCTTTACTTTTGAGAAGTCAGTGGCCTCCAAGACGGCACCCTCAGCACCTTCAATGTCCAGGCTCCAGAAATCCACTTCCAAATGACCCACTGCCTCCAAAATGTCTTTCAGAGGAAGACAAGTGACCTGAAAGACTCTTTCAGAGCAATTTTGCTGAAGACTGAAGACTCTTCAAGTTAGATTCTGCCCGACGTTCGTTAAGTTCATGTTGTCTGTAATTTAAGATCAAATATGCACAGTACAGTTGTGAAGTTGTGAAGAAAGTGAATTGGATTGTACGCGCATTTACTATCGCACATCCTGTGTTTACCAGCCCTCGAGACTGTCCCATTGAATCCGATTGGAACTCCCCCGCGGAGTGTGCAAATGACCCATGAGCCCAAAGGCTTTTAACCGGAAACGGTCCTGTAGATGGTGTTGAATCAAGGTCAATCACTTCAATCTAGGACTTTAGGTTTTACAGTAATTCAACAGTAATTCTTCACGTGCCCCTTCCAACTGACATCCAAGACCAGCCCCATCCCAACGCATCAAATCGGCAAAGGACCGCAATGGCAGCGTCTAAGGTCTGCTTAGTCTCCTTCTCCGGAGGCTTGTCCATCAACCTACCATCCATGCCAAAGTTTCCATGGAGTGCTTTATCACGGTCAGCTTTAAACCAAAGGGTTTCCTGACTTTGGGTCCCAGAGAGGCATCCCTTGAACAGGTATGCCTTGCGGTGTAGAGTCGCAATTAATTCATGATTCCATGGGTCTGGCTCAACCAACAAGCCGCTCCATTTGCCAGTCTTCTCAAGGGCAAGGGTATTGCTGAATGCTTCTCCAACAGAAGCTCCACTTTCAATGAAAAAGCCCTTTGTCAGGCCTTTCAGCAAAGGCCACACTTCCTGGTCTTGCTTGTCTTGACTATACCAATCGTTCTTTGGATGGGCCAAACGATAAAGGTCCTTGCTTGGTGGCACCAAGCATGCGGGATACTCTCCTTCTTGCACCTTTGATTCAGCATGCCTGCACCATGGCACCTTGAGCTCCTTGCTTTCAGGCGCAGCAACTGCAGGGCGTTCGGCAGGAATGCTCGTCTGGTTCATTGTTAAGTTCACAAGCGATATCTTCGCTACACCGCATCCAAAGATTGAATAGAAAATGCCAAAGCCTCCTATCCCCACCAGGAGGCCGAGAGCCACTGGACGCCAGCTCATCACAGGTTCATCAAATCATCTGAAAACATCTCCTCATTACAGCTTCTGGTGATCTGAGCCAAGTCCGCAGAAAAGCCTCAGTAAATCGTTTCACCTCACAATGGTCCTTTTTAACACCAAAGAACGTGCAATGCCGTTGATTTGTGTGCTACACCACCTGCTTTCATGGCAGCCCCACTATACAACTTCAATGAACACTGCAAAATTCCGCCTGGTCCTAGTCATCGCACTGCTGCGGGGTTAGTCGCAAGTGATCTCCGATCGGTCAAGTAATCATGGAAGTGGTTCGATCATGCTTCGAGTTCTTCCAGGTAGAAAAGTTGGAAGGATGACAGCTTTGATGTGCTGCCGTGAGGGGGGGGCAAACATCTCGCCTGGCGAACCACATGATCACGGTTCTCTATTCCATGCCACGCCTTCAAGAAGAATCCTTTATATAGACAGATTGGTCTTGCTTTGACATTGCCAGAATGGAAATGATCCACAGCTGCGAGCTTGCTCATCAGACCAACTTGTGGCCCCGACATCATGTCACCAGCAAGTCAAAGCCCTAGAGGCTGAATCCATCACATCTGATCACTACAAGTGCCTCGCTAGTAGTAACAAGTGCCTTATTAGTAGTAACAAGAAGCTACTAGAAACAAGTGCATCGCTAGTAGTAACAAAGTGTTTTTTTGTATTCGGTCAAAGGTCTCGAGCCCTGCCCGATCCCACTGAGGCACCGGTCATCCCTGAGACCTGGCAAGCCAGTCAGGAGCCCCTAGTAGCCCTTAATATAGTAAAGAATTATACAAGCATAGACCCCAAACAGTTTCAAAACTATTCGTTTAGACCAACATTAGTCAAAAATTGATTTCTTGGCACGCCCTACTTTCACCCAAAGAGCAAACTGTTTCATCAATGAATGTTTGTCGGCATTGACATCGCTATTTGTTCGGCCACACTCCTCTCCAGTAAGCCGGGCCACAGAGACCAGCCACAGAGTTCAGGGGCGCGGCCAAGACAAGGACAAGAGGAGGACAAGACCCGGACACAGAGCCGGCCACAGAGCCCAGCCACAGAGTTCAGGGGCGCGGCCAAGACAAGGACAAGAAGAGGACAAGGCCCAGCCACAGAGCCCAGCACAGAGGACAAGAGGATGACAAGAGCCCAGTAAGCCGTCCATAGCACACAAGCGCGCCCGCGCTCGCCCTGCTCTCTTTCTCTCTCTCTCTCTCTCTCTCTCTCTCTCTGTCTCTGTCTCTGTCTCTGTCTCTGTCTCTGTCTCTTTCTCCTTCCTTCCTTCCTTCCTTGCTTGCTTGCTTGCTTGCTTTCTTGCTTTCTTTCTTTCTTTCTTTCTTTCTTTCTTTCTGTCTCTCTCTCTCTCTCTCTCTCTCTCTCTTTCTCTTCAAGTTTATCTTTCTCTGTCTTTCTCTCTGTAGAGCGCGCAGTGAGCGCGCCTTTCTGGAGCGTATGTCAAACCGTGCGCCACAAAGCCCAGCCACACAAAGCCCAGCCACAGAGTTGACACAGTTCAGGGGCGCGGCCAAGAGGAGGACAAGAGGAGGACAACGGAGGACAAGGCCGGGACACAGAGCAGAGCCCAGCCACGGGCAAGAGAAGGACAACGCCTGGACACAGAGCCCGGCGCGGGCAAGAGGAGGACAAGGCCTGGACACAGTGCCCAGCCACAGAATTGACAGGGTTCAGGGCCCAGCCACAGAGTTGACAGAGTTCGGCGGCGCGGCCAAGAAGAGGACAAGGCCCAGCCACAGAGCCCAACCACAGAGTTGACAGGGTTCAGGAGCGCGGCCAAGAGGAGGAAAAGGGGAGGAGGACAAGAAGAGGACAAGGCCCAGAGTTCAGGGGCGCGGCCAAGAGGAGGACAAGAGGAGGACAAGGCCCAGCCACAGAGCCCAGCCACAGAGCCCAGCCACGGAGCCCAGCCACAGAGTTCAGGCCAGTGAGTGTGGCCAGCTCTTTTCTTTCTAAGATAGAACCGCAACAGTAAACTGTTTGGGGAAAAAGAACATATGTAACCACAATTCAAACATTCTTGTTTCTAATAGCTTCTTGTTACTACTAGTAAGGCACTTGTTACTAGTAGCGATGCACTTGTTCCTAGTAGTTTTCTGTACAACGTTGCAGCTCTTTCTAGTCATTTGCATGAATTGTGCTCCTCTTCCTCTGGAAACCTTTTTCGGGCGATGGTTAGAAACCTGGTCTCTAGCGTTTGTGCAATGCCGTTCACAAATATTCCTCGTCTTTGTCAAGCACGGCGTTTGTCTCCTTGTAGAAAACAGCAAGTTTTTGAAGCAGAAACTCCCATCGGCCACCAACCCCTCACCGACACTCTTCCACCTCCCATCCAGCGCCTCATTGCCATTTACCACAACAACGTGCAACGAGCACAACACCACACACGCCTGGCTCTCAATGCCATTGACACCTTAGCCCGCTTTCCACCAGCGGCCTACTTCACGGATCCCAACCTCGGCACACAAGCTTCCCCACATCCACATTCCCAAGCAGATCCCTCGCCCAGTTATATTCCACCTCTTCGATTCTATCCAATACCCACTGCCGCTGAACTTTTGCACCTTTGGTTTCAGTCCTCGACAACCCACTCACGCCTCCAGGTCTCAACCAATCGCAGCAGACCACCCCTCGACCACACACCCACCACCGCCACATTCAGACGGACATCCATGCCATCGTCCAGCTTCCATCTTTTGCCGGCATCCTTGCACCACATGATGCCAATCAACCGGACTCCTCCACTCCACTAACAACATGGCCCACACTACCTCACCCAACCCAACGTCCGCAACCAACAGGCAGCCTCATGATCGATGGCAGTATGTCAACCTCATTCCTACTCCTACCGTTACCCTTCCTGAGCACCAGTACACAAGACCGGCATTTCCTTCCCCCATTGGCGGTACACACCTCCACGCTCAGCCACCCCCACCCGCACTCGGCAGCCGGACCCACGCACCGGCTCCCCAATTCCCTGTCGCACGGCGCCAGCCCCAGCTCCACACAGCAATACCCTCTTACAGCGCACCCTCTACCAAAACGACCTCCGCCATCACTTCACCAAGCCCAACAACCACCCGCCACCAGTGACCCCCTGCAACTGCAACCCGTCCCTCCGGCGACCGGCTGGCCAAATTTCCAAGGAGGTTCGTACACCCCGACCCCATCAACGGCACCGCCACATACTGCGGCCCCACCTACGCATCCCTGGCCAGCACACTACCCTGTCCCCACACAGCAGCAACCTCCCACCACCTCAACACCTGCAAGCTCTGCGGCTCTTGCTCCACCCTCACCAGTTGTCATGCTCCACCCTACTACCGCACAGGTTGACTTGCAGGGGCGCCCCTGCCTCTACATCAGCAAAACTACGATCCTCGCACTGATCCCTGGTGCGCCGACAATCACTGACCGCGCGGCTGCTGATTCTGAGCCACCTGCGGCGCTTGATCCGTTGATGAGTTACATGCCATGAACCATCCAAGACACCGCAGTTCCTCTTTCCGCTTCCATGACTTTCTCCTAGTATGTAATTTCATCGTTCGCCCTCATCTTCGGATGCTCGCCATCCCCAATGAGGCCTCCGACCAAAAAACAGTTTCACCATGCACAACGAAAAAACAGTTTGCGCCTCCGGCTGATGACCTCGCTTATCCACATTGGTCATGCTTTGATCGAGCCAGCTACCTTTTTTACTGACATTTTAAGTGACACTCTCACAGTGTATTTGCATGACTCAGCTCTTTTTGATGTCCTTCTTGTGTTTGTGCCTCCTGTTGTTTGACTGAACTATGAATGTATGACACTTGTCAATTGCTGTGATTCTACACTGACCGCCATCCCTTATACTTTACTTGACCCTTCCCTCCCTCCGCCCTTTCAGCTTGCTCAAGCCAACAACCCGTGATCCTTGCCTCAACGTTCCAGTTGACGCCTTCGAACAGCCATCATGGACGCACAATGGCAGCAATATTACTGGAACCATTTTTGCTCCAGCAGCAGCAACATCAGCAGCTTACCAACCCAGACACCACTGTTTCTCCTCCCACTGCAACTCACCACACATACAACCCTGCTGGCACTTACGGCCCACTCACTCACGCACTCCGTACGCATCAGGCCCACCACCCTCACCCATACACGACATCACCATACACGACGCCACCGCGGCACACACCGCCACAGCAGGCTCCACCGTCACAGCCGGAGTTCCCACCTCCACCACCACCACTGCCCACAGCCGACCCAGTCACTCCACCGCCATCGACCTACAAGCACAGCCCACCACCGCCACCAGCTGCCCGCGCCGGCACCGCGCCTGCTCCACCGCCACCTCACATCCCTTCTCCCACTCCAAGACTCTTGGAACCAAACCGATCACCATTGGGATTCCAACACACTCCACGGCCACCAGCTCTACCGCACAATCCAACCTACACAATGGTCTCGAAAAGCAGGGGTGGCAGGGCTTCCAACCTTCGACATCTTCCCCTGGCAACTGGCGTACCATGGTACTGCCGAATTCACAGCCCGCACTCTTAGCAACGGAAAGTACACTGGTTTTATTGCCACCAGAAGTATTGCGGAGTCTGTTTTCGTTACCCACCTCCTCCAAGAGCTCCGCGAGAAACGCCTTGACTTGGGCGGCATCGCCGAGACCCTCCACACCAAACAAGGAACCGACATCCCCAGCAAGACAACACAGGCCCGGGCATTCCACGCCCCGCTGATCAACCTACTCATCCAACAACTCCAATCCCACTCTCCGGCGCCAGCAGAGGGCACCGCTCTACGGGCCCTTAAGAACACCACCGATGAACTCGCCCGACCAAAACAGAAGCTCCACAACCTGGGCGAACCCCTCACTCCCGTGAAGAGCACCAGCCACCCCTCCGCCCCGGCGGCCCCTTCACATTCACCCACTCCACCAGCACGCAAGCCACCTGTACTTTCCGACGTCCTGAAACCTCCACACCCAGCTTTGAAGGATGACGTTCCGGAAAGCTGGAACCACACTGATCTTCAACACTGGGTCACCACCTTCGACCCCACCATCCAGGAAGCAGCTAACGAGGTTTTGCGCTTGCTGCAAACCAGCAAAGTCACTACCCAGCAGCTGAAAGAGGCCGCCGCACGTTACGGTCTCCCCCTCAACCGGGTCAATCGCCTCCCCATACGGAGCTTGCAACAGCTTGTGAGTGTGGGGGCAGCCATCGGCTGCTGACTCGCTGTCCTCAGCCAGCAGCAACCCAGCCACACTACCCTACAACACCTGCTCCACTTACACAGAGCACTTTCCATTTTGATCCACCACACTCAATACATCGACCGCGCCGAAGCCATCTTTGCCACCGGCCTTATCCACATCACCTTGCTTGTCGCATATCCCTCCAGCACCCACCGCTCACAACAATGGCGCAATCGTTTTCGCCAGCTCCACATCCTACCTCACACTTACCACTACCACAACTTCCTCTCATCTAACTCGGTCTACATCAAGCTCCACTTCAACCCTGACCCACCCCAACGCTGCTACCACCAACATGGCCACTTCTATGTCGGCTCCACCGCCATTGGCATCCCCCACAGAGAGCATAACCGCCGTGCCAAACTCAAACAACTACAGAACAACATCCCCATTTCCGCTGAGCTTTCCCTACGCTACTGGCATTCCCACAACAATATCCACCACTACACCACCATCCAACTCACATCCCACGACACCTACGACCAAGCCTGGATCCAGGAACACCACTACATTGCCAACTGGATGCCTACCCTTAACTGGCCCTTCATCTCACACCACCTCAAACTCAAAGCTCAAGGATGGCAGTTCACGAAGCATCGAGCGCACTTTTACTCCAGATTAGCCACTCACAAACGACTCTTCCGACGCCTTCGTCAACGTCAGCACACCCTCCGAGAACCACACCTCTACACCTCTACCAAGCATCACGCTCTTACGCTCCTCCGCAACCTTACAAAACATACAGCAGCTTCCTTCGAAGCAGCAAAACAACTGCGCAGTGGCCAACACACTGATCTTGAAGTCTACGCCATCCGGCGTATGGCCGCCAATCTCGAAGAACCTGGCCGCAATCGAGCTCTCCACATCATCAACAAAGCCCTCCTGTATCGCAACCTCACACCACCCAAACCCAACATCCCATTAACAGTGCCTTTCCTGGCCCACGAAGACTTCACCAAGCATTGCCAACAGTGGCTCCGTACCACTATACAACACCACAAGCACCTTGCTATCCCCCTGCACCTCCCGTCACACCGCCTCCGGGAAGCTGCACACAAAACTCTACGATCCCAACTACACAATCGCCGCACCTGGGAGGACACCCTCCATTCCCCGCCGGATCCGGCGGACCTCCCCTGCGCATGTCACCATCTTCGAACTCTACTGCAAGATCCTGATACACCCACCATCAATGGCCATTACATCCTCACACTCGATCAACTTCACCTCCCCACACACCTCAGCATCTTTCTCAACGCCAACATGAACAGCACCTACTATCCAAGCAAGGCTCGCTACTTCCTCACTTTCCAGACAGCCTACACAAAATGGCTTAAGATGCAGGGATTACCGCCGTCCCTCGTGGAGCACTTACACCCTTTCCTCGAACACCAATGGCGCCTTCACACCACACACCTTAAACAACAACCACGCTTTACAGCACGCCTGCTTCGCCAACTCCAAGAATACCTGGGCCAAAACACAGTGCTTCACCATGCCGATCATGAGCTTCAGCAACTCCGACTGTTCTGCCCCCGCCAATACTTCACTGGCGCCTTGAACACATGGCAATCCCCCGAACTTTTCGAACCACTTCCCTACCTCACAGCCGCCAACATCCACGACCATCTCAAAGCCACCGTCCCACCCACCTTACGCACCCGCTACAAATGGGGTTTCCGCAAGGATTTCAATATCCCCTACGGTGTGGTCCACCTCAAGGAGAAGAAGCAGTGGCAAAAAGGCCGCACCATTATCTCACACTTCCATTCACTCAGCGGCAACCTACTCCGCATCACCAGCCGAGCCCTCGACCTCATCCTTCAGCACCTTTATCCCCAACACCCAGGACAACTGTCTATTCCACAACTATGGCACCATTTCCACAGCTACCTCACCCAAACCCCCCGGACATTTCCCTGCACGCCACCAACGACGACCTCGTCGGCTTCTTCAACTCCGTCCCCCAACACAGACTCATTGATGCCGTTCACTCTCTGGTCCACCACTGGCAACAACAGCAATCCACCCACACCATCACAGTGGATGTCCAAGCCACCGGCAACCCCTTCCACCACTCCCACATCGGCAGACACCACCGCAAGCATCCCACGCAACGCACCATCCAGACCTCCGACATCACCACCATCGTGGCCTTTGCACTCAACACTTGCATTTTCCGGGCTTGCAACAACACCTACAAGCAAATCCGAGGAGCTGGGATTGGCTCCCAACTCTCTCCAGCCCTCTGCAATGTAGCCATTACACTCATTGAACACTCCTGGCACCAGCTCCACAACAACCTCCTGCAACACACCAGCCTACACTTCACCTACTACCGATACGTTGACAACCACTTCATTGTTCACAACGAACATTTCCTACACCATCCCGCCATCCAGACCCTCATCCACCACAACTTTTTCGGCGACCCAGTGGAACTCGAACCTGTGGACGATTTCCACCTCCTGGGTTTCAACATCGACCTCCAACAACGCACCATCACCTACATGCAACCTTCCCAACCCTGGAAAATCCGGGACTCCACCACCGCCGGGAGCCAGCGCTTGGCTCTGTCAGGCCTCCAATCCAGACTTCACACCATTCGAAAATACACATTTCCACCCTCCAGCGCTGAAGCTGCTGCAGCTTTATGTCCAAAAAGGACACAACCACCACGCCTGCCACCGGTTTTTGAAAAAGTGCCGGAGCCGGCGACTTGTGTGTGTCCACCCCTGGACCAAGGGTTTCTTCCAACCGATTCACCTGCCACTTGTTCCACCACCGATTCACAAGCAGGGGGATCAGGGACGTTTGGCTTGGCCTGATCCAACGAAGCTCCAGCCATTCGTCAGGATATTCTCGAGGGACGCCTTGAGAACGTACCTGCAAAGTTCTTCACACGCTGTTACTCCACTCTTCCACGGTTTGTTTCATGGTTCTTCATGATACCTCCCACAAACCCACCGCCACCTTGCGACGCTTTGCAGCCGACTTTGAGTGTCAGACCGTTTTCGAATGCAGCTGCCAACAATGTTCAACAATACGGTTTTGCGGACTTATGCACCTTTCCGTTCCCTCGCCTTCCTTCCCAACGTGGTAACTGAGTCACTGAAAACCAATGTCAGAGTGTGGCATTTGCTCACATATGAGTGCTCCCGTATTCGTTTGCGCGCTCTCATATGTGTGTTCTCATACCTGGTGCTCTCATATGTGTGCTCTCATGTGTTGCTCACATATGTGTCCTCTCATGTGTGTGTGTATGCTTTGTTCTGTATCCTTTTATAATACCTGTGCTCTCATATGTGTGCTCTGTGCTTCTAGAGTGATGTATGTTGTTTACTGAGCACAGCAGTTTGTGGCCCTCAAAGTGCGGGTTTTGTGGTCGCTCTGCAGATTTCGTGGCAAGTGCAGTGCAGCACTTTGCAGACCTTCTTAATGCGTGCGTTCTCATGTGTGCTTTGGGTTCCGGTGTGGGTGCCTGGCATGGCTTCACCCAGGCACAGGTTGCAGTTTCTTCGTTTCAACCGATACTTTTTGAGCTCCAACCTTCATATTTGGCACGGATTCAGTTAGGTATCCATGTTCACACTGCTTTTGTTCTACTCAACACGCTCTTGGCTATCATAGACATGTCTCACAGTACTCGCTACGCAAGCAAAAGAAAGTCCAGCAGTTCCTCCGGAGACGTTTTCCACTGTTTGGGGCCTCTTGCTGGGATAATTCTTTTGAACCAAAAACAAACTGATCCCCAGGGAAGTGCTGCGAGAGCAGAAGTAAACAGAAGTGAATGACGGCGAACCACACAAAATCCTAGCCTGGCATCATGGGACTGCGCAAAAGACGCTTCTCCAAGCTTTGCGCCTTCAACAAACGAACAGCAATCTGGAATAGCTCGAGGAAACAAGTCCACTTTGGATGACCAAATCCGATTGAAATCTATTGGAAGGCTTGAAAGGCTTGAAAGGTGGCCATTGGATCCCAACTGTGGCAGAAAGCCTATCGCGTCTTGGTAAGCTCTCTGAAGGTGCTGTTACGAAACCAGTCCAAGCCTGCTTGAACAAAAAGCATCTAGGCATGCCCCAAAAAAGGCTAGCTTCTTCCAAGGTATGTAAACGGTGAGCGTCGATCCTAGTGCTAACCTGGCAGATTCTGCAAATGAATTAGCTACATACATAATATTGCATACCATGAAAGAAGAGGCAACATCGTGATATGATGCAAAACGGCCGAAGCCGGCTGCACTGATCTTTGGCCTTCTCTGAGAGCGCTGTGCGCCGCTTCCGCAGGCCACGCATCTTCTCGCGGCTCTGGCGCACCTCGTAGTGTGGTGGTGTTTTCTTTGAAGTTAATTTGTGTCCATTCAAAACCTTGCTTATCTACTTATATATCAAATCCAAGCAAGGCTACACCAAAATTTGCGTATCTTTTTCAGGTGTGAAAATGACTTTGAAATTAGCCTGGTCCCTCGCAAAAGCTTTTAGTCCACTGCATGCATTCTGCCCCATTCAATTCAAACCAGTCTCCTCATCAACCCCGGCCACTGTTTCAGTCCAGCTTAATAACCGACCGGATCAAATGGCAAGGAGAGCAGTATTCCGTGGAGAATCTGTGGCGGGCTACATAAAGGTTCTTGGTCTGGCCACGCTGAGGAAACAAACTATATACATCCACAGAAAAACGTTCTATATACAAACATCAGATAGCCCAGGCAAGACCGTAGTTCCACTGCGCTCTGAAAGGAAGGCGCCCGGTGGCAAGTGGTTGGACCCTTATGCCTCGCGAAGGAAGCACTCCTTGTGTTGCTTTGCACAGGCCACCTCACCCTGCACATCCTCGGCAAAAGCAGGATCAAGGCCAGATGAGACTGCGTACTTTTGCCTGGTCAAGGTTTCACTTGGGAGAAGTCACCCTCTAAGGTGAGGGTGCGCCGCACGGTTTCTTCAGCACAGGCTTTCAACTTATAAGGCTATAAGGGATTCACATCAGTCTCATTTAAGGTTTTCAGAACGAGGCATTTTTGAGCATGAGCATTCCAAATGGGTCCTGACCATTAATATCTCTCTCTAAAAGAAGAGTCTGCAGAGAGTGGTTGATACTACTCTGGAATAATTCCTCGACTCTACCGGACGTTCACCGCAAGGGTTCATCAGTTGTTGAGCTAGGAATTACAATACAACAAAATGCCAAGCGGTCTGTAACAATATATATATATATATATTGAATATATACGCAATACATGCATCAGCTGAATATTGTATATATAGATATTGCTGCTGGCTCTCAAGATTACCTAAGTTGCTGTAAAAGACTTACTTACAACTAATGAAATATGAAACTGCATATCAGCACCACAGGAAGCCGACCAAAACCTGATTGAAGCCGCCTCCAACTTCATTTCCAGCTCACGCGCTCGTCGCCTCTGAGGGGCTCGTTCAAACCATCTTTTGATCATGGAACGAAGTCGGAAAAGGTGGCCAGCCGGCGCCGTCTACGCCTCCAAAAAAACGGCATATTGGAAAGTTAGGATCCTTGACTAGGGACTTCTAGGCTGCTAGGGTCCTTGGTAGATAGAAACACGGGTCTCGTCTGTGAACATCATTTCGTCATCTGCTCAGAGTCCACCGATGCCATCACCGATGCCTGGCCGCTTCCAGGGCGGGCTCCGCTTGCCGCAGCCTGACCAGTGCAGGGCTCTGGGCAGCCTGAGGCGTGACCAGCAAGAGAGCTCGGTATCTCCTGGATCCAAAGAATGTCCTACCTCCTATGTGGTTTGGATCTCTGTATTCGACTGTGGCAAAAGACAAATATGATCTGGAAGAACAAAGCGTGGATTCACAGCTCTCTGTTATGAATATATGCAGTCTTTGCAGAGTTGGTCTCAATCCTCTGAGCTACAAAGCATCCAGCCAGTTCTTGTTCTGGCGAGTGTTTGAAAATAAATCAATTGTATACAATTATCAATTATCACACGAATGTTTGGTAGATGTGCAGCAGTTGTGATGTTCTTTTCTCCGGGAGACACTTGGTATATCCATTAAATTCCAATAATAAGAGGCTTTTTTGGCAAGCTTGTTTCTGTGATTCACCAAGTTCTGCCCACACACCGCCCAAGCTGCATAGCT